CAATCAAGATGCTCTTAGGCATACTGAAGTTTTAAAACTTACGTTTTAATAGGGTTTTGGGGGGGTAGGGTGTTGCCTTATATGTTTAGAAGCCACAGCAAAATCTCATAATTAGTTACTAAAATACTTTCTTTTTTAAATTCATTGATTTGAGAAACATTGATCTCTTGTTCCAGTTATTTATGCATTCATTGGTTGATTCCTTTTTGTGCCCTAATCAAACCTGAAACATTGGTGTATTGGGACGATGCTCTAACCAAATGAGCCACCCCTTCAGAGCCTAATTTTCCATTTCTTATTAGGTTTACATTTATTTAAAATTTTTCCTGAAATTTATGTCAGTGAACAGTTACTAGGAAAAGTCTAGAAGTTTAACCAATTGTTTGGTCATAATTTACTTAATTCATTCTTTCTCTCACTGATTGGAATAGCACCACTACCAGATATTAAAGTGATTGTCTTAAACCACACATTGAATCATGTCAAAGGCCTTCTTTTGATAACTTACCCGTGCATTTACAGAGGGCTTGCAAAGTCCTATAAGATTTCACCCCTGCCTTCGTTTGCAAAATCACTTTGCACCACTCTTACCATTGTTCAATATGTTCTAGATAAATCAAAGACTTTTGAGTTCTATTATGTTAATTAGACCTCAATAAAATGGGAACAACCGCCAAAACCGGTTTGGCTCAATGGATAGAGCGTCGGTCTGCGGACTGAAAGGTCCCAGGTTCGATTCCAGTCAAGGGCATGTATCCCCAGTAGGGGGTGTGCAAGAGGCAGCTGATTGATGATTCTTTTTCATTGATGTTTCTAATTCTCTATTTCTCTCTCTTCCTCTCTGTAAAAAATCAATAAAATATATATTTTTAAAAAAATAAAAAATAAAAAAAATAAAATGGGAACAACCCCCCTTGTCCTAGCCACTATGGCTCAGTGGATAGAGTACTGGACTGTGGAGTCAATGGACCCTGGTTTGATTCTGGTCAAGGACACATGCCTCTATTGCAGGCTCAATCCCCAGTAGGGGGCATTCAGGAGGCAGCCAATCAATGATTCTCTCTCATCATTGATGTTTCTAACTCTCCCTCTCCCTTCCTCTCTGAAATCAATAAAGATATATTTTTTTTAATTCTGTGAAATAGATGCATCTAATAGAAATAACAGAGGATGAAAATAGAGTAGAAAAGGTAATATATTTTTTTTTTAATTGATTTTTTACAGAGAGGAAGGGAGAGAGCTAGAGAGCTAGAAACGTCCATGAGAGAGAAACATCGACCAGCTGCCTCTTGCACACCCCCTACCGGGGATGTGCTAGCAACCAATATATATGCCCTTGACCGAATTGAACCTGGGACCCTTCAGTCCGCAGACCGACGTTCTACCACTGAGCCAAACCGGTTTCGGCTAGAAAAGGTAATATTTGAAGCCATATGGTTGAGATTATTCTGGACTTAATGAAATACATGAATCTTCTGATTCAGGACTCAAAATTCTCTGAACATAATAAGTAAAGCTAAATCCATCCTTGACGCATTGTAGAAAATCTAAGGAATTCTACATACCAAGATACAATATCAACTGAAGAAAAATGCTATAATAAAAGTGAAAAAGAAATAAAGAAGCTGGGGGAAGAATATATATAATGGGGAAATGATCTACGCTAATAAAAGAGAAATATGCAAATTGATCATATCTCCATGGTGCCCACCAGCCAATCAGGAGTGAGAATGCAAATTAACCCAATAAAAATGGCATGTTAATTTGCATAAGCAGGTACATAGCTGGGCAGGGAGGGTGCATGCTATGAGGAGGGCTGGGGGCAGAGGGAACTACAGGAGCAGCGCTCTGGAGCAGAGAAGACTGAAGGTTCCGGCCAGAGAGAAAGGCCTGGGTCCCAGGTGCCGGAGGAAAATTGGTGCCAGCAGCCAGGAGAAGGAGTCTTTGTGCAATAGGCCTCTAGGTAGCATATAAAGTGCTCCTTTAAAAAAAAAAAAAAAAAATACACCTTGCTCATGACAATGAGGCAATAATTTTTTTTTCCTTAACTGAATCAACCATTTTATTATTTTTTAAATATATTTTTATTGATTTCAAAGTGGAAGGGAGAAATAGAAACATCAATGATGAGAAGGAATCATTGACTGGCTGCCTTCTGCACGTTGGACCCAGCCCACAACCCAGGCATGTGCCATTGACTGGAATCAAACCTGGGACCCTCTGGTCTTCAGGCCAACATTCTATCCACTAAGCCAAACCAGCAAGGGCAAAAGTGCTCCTTTTAATCAATGTGAAAAAGACAGTTTGATGGAAAAAATATAAACTTTCAATGGTCAAGATATATATATATGAAAAATGTCCAACCAATAACACTTTTTATTTATTTTTTGTGTAACACTTTTTAAATATGCAAATTGAAATTTTCCACACAAATGAAAATTTCAATTTGCGTATTTTAGAAAAATCAGGGGAAATGAGCATGCTCATAGTCTTGGCTAGAATATACCGTATTTTTCGGACCATAAGATGCACCAGTTTTTAGAGAAGGGAAATGAAGAAAAAAAGATTCTGAAACAAATAGTGTCCTAAAATATTTTATGTGCATTAAAACCCAACATCACAGTCATAAACACATGTAATCAACCCTGTAAAGTAAACAGCAGCATTTAGAACCATTTTAGAGCCGGGCAAGCACACAGAGACCACACAGAGCCAGGCAAGTAAAAAAACTTTTTTTTTTAAGTATATGTGTAGGCTATATTTGGACCATAAGATGCAGGGACTTTTTCCCCCCACTTCTGGGGGGGAAAAAGTGCGTCTTATGGTCCGAAAAATACAGTAAATTGCAATCTTTAGAGTTCAATTTAGCAACAATAATAAAATATTTTGTTTACAGATACATATCCTAGGGCAAAGGAAACAAAGGAGAAGATAAACAAATGGCACTACATCAACATAGAAAGCTTCTGCACAGCAAAAGCAGCAAAAGAAACCATCAACAACAAAAAAGGGAGCCTACTGTATCGGAGAACATATTTGGCAATGATATATCTGATAAAGGTTTAATATCCAAAAATATAAGGAACTCATACAGTTTAACAAAAGGAAGACAAACAATCCACTTAAAAAATGGGCAAAGAACCTAAATAGACACTTCTCCAAAGTGAATATGCCGATGGCCAAGAGACATATGAAAAAATGCTCAAAGTCACTGATCATCAGAGAGATTGAAATTAAAACAGCAATAAGGTATCAATCACCTCACACCTGTCAGATGGCTACCATCAACAAGTCAACAAATGACAAGTGCTGGTGACGAGTACACTGCTGGTGGGAATGCAGACTGGCAGTCACTATGGAAAACAGTATGGATTTTCCTCAAAAAATTAAATATGGAACTGTCATTTGACCCAGTGACCCCACTTCTAGGAATATATCCTAAGAAACCTGAAACATTTAAACAATAAAGAATTTAAATTTTAAAAAAAGAAAGAAACCTATAACACCAGTCAGAAAGAATGTATGCACTGCTGTGTTCATAGCAGCACAATTTACAACAGCTAAGACCTGGAAATATCCCCAGTGCCCATCAGTAGCCATGTGGATAAAAAAGCTATGGTATATTTATGCCATGGAAGAGTATGCAGCAGTAAAAAAAGAATTTCTTACCTTTTCAGACAGCATGGAGGGACCTGGAGAATATCATGCTAAGTGAAATAAGTCAGAGAAAGACAAATATCATATCTCATTCTTATGTGGAATCTAAAAAAATAAAAATAAAATGAACAGAGTGAATCCAAATCCAGAGACATTGAAACATGGAACAGAGTGCGGAATCAGGGTGGGGAGGTAATCAGCCAAGGACCTTGTATGCATATATGCATAACCCATAAACAGACAATAGGTGAAGGCCTGGGGCAGAGGGCTGGAGGGAGTCAATGGAAGGAAAAGGGGGAGAGGGAATATGTAATACTTCCAAGTATAAGAAATAAAAAAACAATAATCAAATATTTAATGTGTATACTCTTCCACCCAGCAATGCTAGTTCAAGAAGTTGATCTTGAAAAACGACCTACGTGTCCAAAGGTGTCTGTAATGACAAGAAATTGGAAAATTGGGTTGCAACCCTAAAATACAGATATGCTTTATTGAGATTCGCTTGATTGTCTTCCACAGGGGTGGCAAAACCATCCCTCTACCAGCAAAAAAGTCACTCTTGGCTGCCTTTCTGGCTTTATTGCAGTGGAATGGAAGGAACCGCAGTTATCTCTGATGTATGCCTGTTTCTCCGTCTTTTTAAAAGGTATTCATTAAAAAGTTGTATGACATAAAATTACCTTATTAAGTACATAGCAGAAGTGTTAACGGTACGAACCCAGTTTTGTTTTGTTTTTTTAAATAAAAACGTGTACTTATAGAAAAAGCAGCTTAGAAAGCAGTATACAGAAATGATTGTGATACGAGCTGTGTGTGTGTATGTGTGTGTGTGAGGGTTTTAAAGAGATGGTGGTGGGGATGGTGGTGGGAGCTGAGAATGTTATCATAACTGTACATCTTACATCGTTTGACTTTTAGGTCCACATCACTTCTACGATAGCAAAAGTAAAGTGCACACTTAAAGCAAATGTTTTCTTCAGGCTACAAGGCGTCTTTCCCTCCCGATAGGAGCGAGCAACTCTCTATCCCCGAAGCAGGGAGGGTGCTCGGAGGCAACACAAAACTGGAGCCCGTGGACCCCGGGCCTGAGCCTCAGTGCTGCCCGGGCTTGTCCAGCGTTCAGGCCCCGCATTGACTAAAAGGCTGGCAATCCTCCCGGACGACGTTCCGCCCGCCCCGGAGGCGGAGGCGCAGCGTTCCTATCCCTCCCTCTCTTACTCCCTCACTCTCACCCTCCAATGGGCGTCCAAGGGGGGCGGGCTTAGCGCGAACTAGGCACACGATTAGTCCTGGAACCTCCCGCCCAGGGGTGGGCGGGGCAGCGTGGTGACGTACGATTACGGGACGCAGAGGCGGGGAGTGCACGAACGCAGGCCCGGCGGTATTAAACGGTTGCGAGCGGAGCGTTCTGGTGATCGTCGTAGGTCTCAGGCTCTCCCCGCTGTGGTAGCCGGCTACTCCTCCTTCTTCACTTCGTCTCTAGCCGCGTCGTTGAGACTCCGCCACCATGTTCGAAGCGCGCCTGGTCCAGGGCTCCATCCTGAAAAAGGTGCTGGAGGCGCTGAAGGACCTCATCAATGAGGCCTGCTGGGACATCAGCTCGAGTGGCGTGAACCTGCAGAGCATGGACTCGTCCCACGTCTCTTTGGTGCAGCTCACCCTGCGGTCCGAGGGCTTCGACACGTACCGCTGCGACCGCAACCTGGCCATGGGCGTGAACCTCACCAGGTGAGCCCGGGAGCGGTGGGGGAACCAGGCCTTGGTCCTCTCAACTCCTCACTCCCATTCCCTCCCCCTCTTGGCGGGAGCTTTTCTGAGCTGGCCTCTCATTGGCTGGTGTGGGCCATTCCGCCTTCGCATTGGTCTGCTGTGCCTGGGGGCGGGACCAGCGGAGCGCGCGGTGCCGAAAGCCCGCGCTGGCCGAGGCGGGAACTCGCTTTTTCCGCGCCACTGTCACAAAGCGGGCGGTGGCGGGAAAATGACGGGCTTCCCCGGGCTGCTAGGAAGACTCTTTTTTGGAGCTCTTTTGGTCATTAGGTGCCGGTGGCCTTGACTGGGAAACCATGGTCATGGATGACTTTATTTTACTTATTTTTTTAAGTTTTAATGTTGAAAGAATTACATATGTTTTCTTTTTATCCCCGTTGACTCCCCTCCTAGCCCGCCTTCGCCCATCCCCCGTCTTGGATAACTTTAACTGCTTTATAGTGTTCCCTACCTGTCTCCTTATTTAAGGAACAATAACTTATTTCTGGTCTTCTATTACTAAGTTGTAGTGATCACCCTCTTCAACTTGAGAAAAGATTTCTCCAGGGCAGTGGCTTGCAACTTTTTGATCGCTATCTAGTATATATACGTGCTTAAAGTTTTAAAACCTTATGAGAAATATAAACCCATTCTACATGCTGTTGCAGGATTCTAGGGCAGGGAAAATGGGTAAAGTTGAAACTTTAAGGCGAAACACTCTGGGCAATTTACAACCAGCTTGTAAATAACCAGCCATTACCTTCACCAGCCAAGGGTAATTGAGAGAAAATGGTTAAAAAGCTCCCTAATGAGAGAATGCTGTAAGGGAGAGAAAAAGAAAAGAAAAAAAACGGCAGTTTTATTCCCTAAGCAGAGAAGCTAGCATCTCAAAGTTTGGCAAGATAAAGTTGCCAGGTGCTTCTTATGAATTCTGAGAAGGTCACAAGAAAATAAAAAGGATCCTCGAGAATTAATCTATGCCAGAATATTCCAGTAAAGGAATACCTATAGACAGGAAGGTAAATACCCTACCTGGCTCCCTCTTCAGATTAGCTGAGAGCCCATCTGCGCTTCATAAGCCAGAAGTATTTGCCTGCTTTGCTTTTTCAATAAAGGTGCATGCATTAAATAAATTGGCTTTTTACAACACAGCCAAGGTCTCATATAAATTCATTTATATGAAAAGACAAGAATCAAGGTTAGGAACAGCTCCCTCCCACTGACTGAGGGGCCTGTCTAACAGAGCATGCCATGTCTTTTAATAGTAGCATATTGTTTTAATGGTCGTCGTGGTCCAGTAACTTAGCCACTAAGAGGATTTGCAATTCAGAATATACTGCTTTTTTTTTTTTTTCATTTATATTTGAAAGTGGAAATTATTGGTGGCAAGCTGCCAGATTGCATTCCAAAGTGGCTGGACCGGTTTACGGGTCATCCTGGAGCACATTTACTTAACTTGCCCATTCTTCAGCCTAATGGTTAAAAATGATAACTCCTTGTTTAATGGCTTAAACTCTAACCATCTTAACATGGTGTGGATTGTTAGGCTTTTGGCCAGGTGATTCGGGATGTGAAAGAGTTTGCAACTAAAAGAAGAGATATGTATAGAGAGTTTAATTTACTTTCCAGAAGGGAAAGTGTGGGTGTATTGCTAATTAATACAAGGACAAGAAATAAACTGCAGCTGCTCTTTTGAAGGGTAATGGTTGCTGTTGCTAGGTGACAAGAAAGGGAGGGGAGTTTGGAGGTTGAAATTGAGCAGGCTTCCAGGTTTGTAGTTAGTTATTTAGGAGACAATCAGGAGAGATTTCCTAGGGAGGTGTCTTATTTTTCTTTTTTTTTTTTTTTGTATATATATTTTATTGATTTTTTACAGAGGAAGGGAGAGAGATAGCTAGAAATGTCGATGAGAGAGAAACATCGACCAGCTGCCTCTTGCACACCCCCCACTGGGGATGTGCCCACAACCAAGGCATATGCTCTTGACCAGAATCAAAACTGGGACCTTTCAGTCCAAAGGCGGAAGCTCTACACTGAGCCAAACTGGTTTCGGCAATTTTTTCAAAGCCTGCAAACTATTCTTAGAGTAAAAGTTATGAAGAGTTCAAAAGTAGCTTTTTTTAAAGAGTGGGGGTAGGACTTTCTATTATCCCTGAGTTGTAAAAAAAAAAAAACAAGGAGGAGGGTTATACAAAAATGTAGCCTTGAAAAGTAACTTGTGTTGTAGTTTGAACAGAGGGACTGTTTGAATCAGAGGAGCTAACAATTCTGGATTTTAATTACCAGGTGTTGCTCATAAATTGTGGAAGGCTGTAGCAATGAAAAAAGAGGCTTTTCCTATTCTTGTACATCAATCTTAAATCCTGTGTCTTCTCTGTTCTAGCATGTCCAAGATACTAAAATGTGCTGGCAATGAAGACATCATTACCCTAAGGGCTGAAGATAATGCAGACACCTTGGCACTCGTGTTTGAAGCTCCAAGTAGGTTATACTCTTCTACTGACTTATCCTGAAGAAAACTAAAACGCAACATCAGTATTTTCAAAGTTCTGAGAAATTGAAAATAATGTTTTTTGAGGCTTAATGCTTTTCTTCAATAATGTTTGCTTTCTTTTGGTAGACCAAGAAAAGGTTTCAGACTATGAAATGAAGTTAATGGATTTGGATGTTGAACAACTTGGAATTCCAGTGAGTATCAGTTTGATTGAATGTACTGTACATGATAGCTACCTAAGATATGTTAATATAAAGCCTACTTCCTAACAACTATGTATCTGCTGGTGCATATTCCAAAATGGAGTTACAGTACTCAAAAAAATGGACCATTGGTTGACTTCATTGTTGCTGAGTATTAAGATTAGATTTTAGAACCAAGGGGCAAAAGTTTATTAGATTATGTTTATCAACATTAAAGGAGAGAGGTAGTGTTGGAAAATTCTCTTGTCTGGTCACGCTGCACATTCGTTGTTCTTATGCCATAGTCTAATGTCCTTTTTTTTTAATAAATATATTTTATTGATTTTGTACAGAAAGGAAGGGAGAGAGATACTAGTTAGAAACATCGATGAGAGAGAGTCATCAATCAGCTGCCTCTTGCACACCGCCTACTGGGGATATGCCCGCAACCAAGGTACATGCCCTTGACCGGAATTGAACCTGGGACCCTTCAGTCCCCAAGCTGACACTCTATCCATTGAGCCAAACCGGTTTTGGCTAATGTCCTCTTTTTAAAACAAATATATATATATATATTGATTTCAGAGGGGACAGGGTGAGGAAAGAGAAATAGAAAAATATCAATGATGAGAAAGAATCATTTATCGGCTGCCACCTGCATGCCCCACACTGGTGATTGAGCCCACAACCCAGGCATGTGCCCTGACCTGGAATGGAACTGTGACCTCCTGGTTCATAGGTACACGTTCAGCCACTAAGACTTGCAGGCCGGCTCTAATATCTTCTTGATTTAGCCCTGGAGGATAGATGATTTGGGGAAGCTCTACTTCCCTGGATTTTACTGTTAAAAGGTTTAAGCTCTACTTTGTTTTCTTATAGTTATTCTTATAACGTACTTGTTTCAGATCTGCCTTTCTTTTTTGAGTGGTTACAGTGCTTTAAGTCACAATAAGTTCCAACATAATTCTGAGTTCTCCTTTAGATGTTGATTCTTAAGGAAGAGATGATACCTACCAAATCTTTAATTCCCAGTAATTGATCTTTAAGGATTTTTGTGTTTCATTTTGTTTTATAGGAACAGGAGTATAGCTGTGTAGTAAAGATGCCTTCTGGTGAATTTGCACGTATATGCCGAGATCTCAGTCATATTGGAGATGCTGTTGTAATTTCTTGTGCAAAAGATGGAGTGAAATTCTCTGCCAGTGGGGAACTTGGAAACGGAAATATTAAGTTGTCACAAACAAGTAATGTCGATAAAGAAGAGGAAGCTGTAAGTAATTTTAAAATAAAATATTTTGAAGAGAATTACAACACTGCTTAATATTGGGTTAGTCTGTGTGGGCTGGTATAAAATACCATAAACCTGATTGCTTATAAGCAATGAAATTTTATTTCCCACAGTTTTGGAGGCTGGCATAATTGGTGTCTGGTGAGCACCTACTTCTCGATTCATAGGGCAAGGGAGCTTTCTAGGGTCTTTTCTTTTTACTCTATTTCAGAGAGGTAGAAACATCAATGATGAGAATCTTTGATTGGCTTCCTCCTATACACCTCCTACTGGGGATCTAGCCTGTAACCTCAGGCAAGTGTGCTCTGACTGGAAATCGAACTGTGACCACCTGTTTCATAGGTTGATGCTCAACCACTGAACCATACCAGCCGGGCTGAGGTCTCTCATAAGGTCATAATCCTATTCATGAAGGCCCCACTTCTGAATACCATAACACTGGGGATTCAGTTTTAACATTAAAGGGGGAGGAGGGACATGATAAACATTCTCTATAGCAAGATAAATACTAAAAATTAGAGAAAACTCGAAAGGAAAATAGACAAAATTGCATTTTTACAATTTGTAAAAAAGTGGAAGATATTGTTGAAATTTGCAAGTGATTTATAAGTGCCATCTATTGTAATTTATAATTTGTAAGCAGGGAACGCAAATTCAATGTGAACAATGTGCTGGTGTATCAAACCCACACATAGTCTTAACACGTTAAACGCATAGCCTGTTTTGTCTTCTGAACGGAAAGGATAGTGGCAGTCACCGGTGGCTGACTGGGCACTTTACGTGTTAAGAATAGGATTGAGAGGCTAGGTGTCTAACCTTTAGGTTTCTGGTGGTATTTACTCTGCTTTTATCAAGTAATTCCGCATAGGATACCTCAATAGAACGATCTAATGAGGGATAAAAATCTAGCTGCTAGGAGCTCCTGTATAATCCACATTTAACCAAAAATTAACACTATTTCCTAAATGTCCTTAAAATAAGGTTTTCCTGTAATCAGGTGTATTATTATTAGAGCATTATAAACTAAAATTTGGTAATTGTACTGAAATAAAACTTGCTAGCCTGTGAACAAGTTAACTGTAAATCAAGAACAATTAAAGGGCCTAAACTCAAGATTATTAGAATTAAGTAACATTCAAAGTGCTTAACACAGTATCTGGCATATTGTAAGTTTATAGTAAAGATTAGGTATTTTCTTGTCCCTTGCTTGAGCAGTCAGTTCACAGATTAAATGAAGGTAAACTCCATTTAAATAAAGACTTCTTTATTTTTAATATTGAATGTCCAGCAATAAAGCTGACAATACATAAGAAAATAAAAGGATTGATTTTTACTAATTTATTTCAGATTTATTTTTTTAATTTATTTTTTTAAGGGAGTGGGACATTGATTTGTTTTTCCGTGGTTGTACATTTCTTGGTTGATTCTTGTATGTGCCCTGACTGGGGATTAAACTTGCAACCTTAGAGGATTCTCTAACCAACTGAACTTCCTAGCCAGGGCTCACATTTATTCTTAAGTCAGTATAAAAACACTCCCACACTAAATGAACATATTATGTATACACCTAGATAGGCTTATAACCATAATTTCAATGCACATCATGGTAATGCACCTTCATGTATTCTCTCTGCAACATGAATTTGGTAGTAATATCTGTTATGGATTCTTTAATAATGAGCAGGAAGATTCTTTAGATGTTTTAATATGTGGATCTCAGGCATGTTTATTCATTGAGCAGGGAATCCTTTGAGTTAGAGCTGTTCAAAATTGTTTAAACTTCAAGGGGAATCTCTCAGGTCAGCATTCCTCTAGTGCCAGTCTAAATACTTTTTAAAAGTCTATTAAATAGCAAAACCATAGGGACAAATTGCAACTTTTATCTGTCTCCTAAATTACATTTCACTCCGTTTCCAACTTTGATTTTTTAAATTTTCTAACATTATTTCATCTGTAAACATTTTAATACTATTATACTTGAAGTATAAACATTAAACTTTACCACATACTATAAGAAAATTATTCAATATTAAGGCAGTTTTTGTTGTTCCTATTTCCTTGGTCATGTCCAACCTGCTTGAATCAAAATTTTAAGAAGGTATATAACATTGCATTTTAGTTGTTCTCAATCCATTGGTTTTCCAATTTGTTTTTGCCTCTCCATTGCAATTTGACTTGTTGAAAAAAACTAGGTCATTTATCATTGAGCTTCACAGAGTCTGAATTTTGCCAATTCCTTATATCAATTAATATGTTCCTCCACCTCCTATTTCCTATAAATTAGTAGCTACAGCTCTTGAGGCTTGATATTCAGGGTGTCTTTGTTTTAGGGGTAGGAGAGCAAGAATACTTAATAGATGGTGGTGTGTACTTCTGGTAGGAGTCATGGGGTATCTGAATACCTTTTTGTGATTTTTAGCATCTATAAATAGTCAATGTCTAGGTTCATTAAGTCATATGTTTTGCAGAGTTTTAATATATTAATATATTTCATTCCTTTATTTGCTGGTTTATTTTCTAGAGATACTTCCATAAATAAATGCTCTTATTACCTAATTTGGTTATCTGAGATTTGGCTCATATACAGAAAGACAAGCTAAATAGTTGTTTTGGTTTATTGACCTATTTTCTAAATTAGTTTCATATCACCCTCCCATGTAATAAGTATATATATTATTAAAATGTTGTAACTTTACTTTTTTTTTTTTTTTTCTTTTTTTTTCATTATAATGAATCATTTGCTTTTTCCCCTTAGGTTGCCATAGAGATGAATGAGCCAGTCCAGCTAACTTTTGCACTGAGATATCTGAACTTCTTTACAAAAGCTACTCCACTCTCTCCTACAGTAACACTCAGTATGTCTGCAGATGTACCCCTTGGTAAGAATTTGTTAAATCTTGTTTTTAATATACTTTTATTGACTTCAGAGAGGGAAAGAGAGAGAAACATCAATGAGAGAATCACTGATTGGCTGCCTCCTGCACCCCCTCCACTGGGGATAGAGCCCACAACCAGGCATGTGCTGCCCTGACTGGGAATCAACCAGGGACCGTTTGGTCTAAAGGCAGATGTGCTATCCACTGAGCCAAACAAGGGCTAAATCTTGTTTTGTAGGTATGTGTGCAGTACATCTCAGTAATTAATCCAATGTTCCTGTCTTCTTTCAGTTGTAGAGTATAAAATTGCTGATATGGGACATTTAAAGTACTATCTGGCTCCCAAGATCGAGGATGAAGAAGGATCTTAAGCGGTTTTAAAATCCAAGAAAACAAAACAGCTCTTTGAGAACTGCTTCTGAGATTTCAAAATGCTTTTACAAGTCTCTTTTGTCACCAAATTTGTACCTGAGTACATATGTAGATAATGTTTTCTGTAAATAACCTATTTTCCATTCTTTACAATTTAAAGCATAGTCTCAAGTCAAATCTGGTCTTATTAACCTAGAACTACTCTGCCTTATATAGAAATAGTTTTTAGGATTTTTATAACAAAGGGTTTTGACTATTAATCAGTTTTAATGTTTTCATCTTAGAAGTTTGATATCACAGGACAGTGCCTTCATTTGAACCTTGACTAGGGAATTCACAATTAGTGCTACCTTTTTTGTGTAAATGTTATATATATTTTTTTCAATCTAGAGCAGCCAGATACAAATACATTAGGTATAGCCATAAAAAGCACTCCAAATGCTGTTAGGTAACAAGATATTTGTGAAGATTCAGTTGTCAAATTTATTTTTGTATTTTCACTTGAACTAAAGAAATGAATGGGAGAACAAATTCTATGCTTCATTTTTTTGTCTTTTTTTGTAAACAAATACTTTTTTTGTAAACAAACAAATACTATACTAATACTTTTTCAGAAACCTACTATACTCAAAGGTCGGTTTATAAGACTAGAATTGTTACAGGGCGGTGTTTCTTTAGCCTAGGAAACTTTACAAGACATAAGAATTACTATGTTTGTGATGGGGCCCAAGGAGTATGTTTGCAAAAAAATTTTTCTCTAGTATAAATAGCTTTATTTGAGACTTATCCTAGTGTAAAGGATGAACATGGCTTATCTCTTAAGGGTGTTGGGTTCAACCGAGAAAGTGAAAAGGCCCAGTAGTTGTGAAACAGGCTATTTAAACATTCCCAGTAATTGTGTTTACAAGATCACAAATTGGCATCCTACATACTGAAGGCTGTTTTATTACATTCCTTTTCCCCATTATGTTTGGATTAAATAACTGGTTTCTTTGTTGTACCTGGACTTGAGTTCTAGTGATTGGACTTCAGAACTCACTGTATCCGGTGGGTAACCATTACCTTATGTGCCTGGGTGGAAGGAGATTGGCAGCAAGGGAGCCTGATGGCGTTTTTTTTCGAGTGATGAAAATGTTTTATCTAGACAGGTGATGGATGATCCCAAGACCGAATTTGTTAAACCTCATCCATTGTACTTTTATGTAAATTATACCTTAATAAAGTTGACATTTAAAAGTTTCGCGTGTGGCAAAATATTTCTGTGGGCAGACCTCTCTTACCTGGGCAAGGCCGGATAGCCTAGGACAGTGTTTCCCAACCTTCTCTCATGATGAGAATCACCTGGTGGAGTTGTTAAAACACAGATTCCCGGATCCCAACTAAGACGTGCTAAACTAGAATTTTTGGGAACATATAGGTAAAATTGCATACCTAACTTAGTGCTCTGTATATAAAATCTGTCTTAGAGCACTAGTTAAGTATACAATTTTACCTATATGTTCCCAAAAATTCTAGTTTAGCACTTCTTAGTTGGGATCCGGGAATCAGTGTTTTAACAACTCCACCAGGTGATTCTCATCATGAGAGAAGGTTGGGAAACACTGGCCTAGGACAATGGTTGGCAAACTGCGGCTCTTTGGCCCCTTGAGTGTGGCTCTTCCACAAAACACGTGTGTACAGTGCAATTGAAACTTCGTGGCCCATGCGCATTAGTCGGTTTTCGGCTCAAAAGAAATTTCAGTCGTACTGTTGATATTTTGCTCTGTTGATTAATGTGTTTGCCACCACTGGCCTACGAGAGGGAGACAACAAGAGTAGGGGCGCGAAGCTGTGAGGTAGTAATAACTGGCAAAGACTACAACTCGCCCCCTTGGAAGGGTGGCTGCCCTGGGCACTTGGCCCAGCAGCTCAGGTCCGACCAGGACCTGCTTCGGCCCCTTCGGGGGAGGGGACGCCACTACCTGAGGGGCCAATAAAGATGGTTGGTCCAGGGCCCGGCAGGCGGTGTGGGGGTGGCCGGCTGCAAGCCCAGGCCGGACCATGCGCAGGGCTGGAAAGGTGTTTCCGGAAAGCGGATGGAGAGCGGCGCTCCCGGTGACGCCACTTCCGCGGCGCCGCCTTCCTGTCCGCGGTTTCCGGTGTGGGCGGGGTGGGGCCGGCGGCAGTTAGGTGAGGCGTGTCATGAGCATCTCCGCTGGCCACGGCGAGCGGGCAGTGGACGCGCGGACGGCTGGGCACGGCGCTCCGGTAAGGGGTGCGCACGGCGGGCGGGGCGGGCGTGGTCCTGAGGCTCCCGGCGGCGCGGAGACGGCTCCCCGCTGTGTCCAGCCCCGAGCCCTCCGCACCGCTGGCCTCTGTCCAGAAACCGGTTTTGTTTGTTTTCGGGCTAAATTCGTGTGGGTTCTTACTTCTCTTCCTGGTGAGGTCCGGGGACTGGCTGGAAAGGAGTGTGTGTGCAGGCGCGGCGTGCCAGGCACTGCTGACGCTTTTAAGATGACTGCAACTTTGAGGGGCTGCGTTGGAGTTGGGAAAAACCCTGTAGGGAACTTTGAAAACATCGATTCCCGTATTTCCTTTTCCCTCTTAGAATACTTACTTCTCTCCCTCACGGCCTGCGCTTTTTTGTTTTGTTGCGGGTGTATGAATTTGTAGTTAATGGTGGAGCACATAAACTTTGACTAATACAAATCAGAGATGATCAGGTGCCCTCCTAAACCCCCACATACATCAAGTATTCGGATCGCAACATTTAAAAACCTAGTATTTGATTCAGTTCAACCATTTGTTAATAAAATCAACAATAGGCCAAATGGAGTAACAGACCAAAACTTAACCTCCCTGCAGTTTGAGTCCCCTCTTTCTGCGGTAAAAACCTTCCATTGTGTACAACTCATCAGCACTCCCTTTCAGCTGCTATATGGGATGCGTCTGTTTCACCACTTGAGTAATAAAGCCAATTAGATCTTCAAACTAGTTGAATTTTGTTATTTAACACCTTTTAGGGTGGCATATAAGCTAGCATTTTTTTTTTCAGTACTTGATATTTGCAGCAGTATGTAATTATCGATAATAAAAAGGGATATGAGCCTTTAGCACCAATTCCTTTATAAAGCTACTTAGTTTAGGTTGAATTGAGGCCATTTAACATAACTCACTAATAACTGGGATTAAGAACATACAATGCACCTAACCTGTAATTATTTACTGCCATTACTATAATGATTATTTGTAAAGTGTCATACCAGAGGAAGGCCAGGCTTTGCTTCTTTGTGTGTTTATTGAAATAGCTAGTTTTATCTTTTAAAAGAAATGAAATAGCTTTATAATAAAATATATATATATACACATATGTATATGTATGTATGTATATATATATATAACTGGTTTTATGGAGGAAAAGTATACAAATGTTTTTCAATTTTATTGTCTTTTTTTTTTCTCTCTCCTAATCTTCACCAGAGGATATTTTTTTTCCATTTATTCTCTATAGAGAGTGGAAGGGAGGGGGGAGAGAGAGAGACATAGATGGGACAGAGACACATTGATAGATTGCCTCCCACAGTGGGGGGCCAGAACCAGGGCGGGATGGAACCTTCAACTTAGGCACGGGCCCTGGACTGGGAATTGAACCTGAGATCCTTCAGTTCTTGGGCTGACACTCCAACCACTGAGCCATGCTGGCCAGGGCTCAAATGTCTTTTTTTAATTTGTAAGAGTTTATTTGAGCTAAAACTGACTACATAGGCAGGGGAGCAATATCTCAAATGTTCCTTAAATGTCATTATTTTTAAATCTTATCTACTCTCTCTTAAACCACTGACAAAATGGCCATGATTATTTTAAAATGTAATTATAGAAGTAATCTGGAAAATGAAATCACTACTTTCACTGCTTGAGTGGGCAGAGAGATAGGCAAATCAGAAGTCACTGGTACAGTACTGATTGCCATGAGTTTATCCAAATTTACAAGAAGCTTTACAAATTCTTTGCATTAACAGCATGATATTCATCAGGGGGGAAATAAGCAAAATATAGATATGAGTGTATTCTATTCTCCCCCCCCCCTCTCTCTCTCCTTCCTCCCTAGCAAATATGAGAATCACTTGAGTATATGCGCCTCTTGCTTTTTTCTGAAGCAGAGACAAGAGGCAAACAGTACTATAGCAGAATGGTTGAAAATTTGAACTTTGCATAAGTCCAAATGATACTACCTTATACCATCCTGGCTACTGGAATCCCCAGTAGTAAAATGAAGTACTCAAGATTCTCCAGCATAGATGATGGCTACATTGACCTTCAGGTAGACTTGGACTTGAATCATTACTCTTCCACCCTGTATGGCTTCGGAAAAATTAGGAGGCAGGGGAATGTTGGTGGCAAGGTACATATGCGTTCTGGTTCTTGGTCATTGTCTGGACTTTCATTCTAACAGGAAAACCAGAGTGGATAAATAATGAGGCTATTTTCATTTTATCAAAAGAAGGTCGGGTTCTAAGAGCAGCAGAGCCTAAATTGCCAGTTGCTAGTATGTCATCACAGCCCCGCACTCCAAATCACTGCATCTGAGAGGCCTGAATTTATGGGCTATATAAAACATGGATGTTGCTTGCAGACATGAACAGTTTTCCTTGTTTTCAGACTGTAGCTGTGTCAGTGTGTTATGATGCCATCTCGTACCAACCTGGCTGCTGGAATCCCCAGTAGTAAAGTGAAATACTCGAGACTCTCCAGCACAGATGATGGCTACATTGACCTTCAGGTAAGTGCACAAGAGAGCTGATGAGACTGGCTGGCTCTGTTTCTGATGAGCTAGCAGGAAGACCTGTCAGTAGAGGTTTCTGCTAATGTCCCTGAGGAATAGAGGGAGCAGCAAGAAAGAAACCCAGCACCTTTCAGCCACAGCCTGCAGAGGAGGGATCATCTTGGCAGAGCTCTTTCAAACCAATATAAATACAGTTCCTTCCTAAGAATTTTTAGTTGTAATGACAAAGCCCAGTAATTGCAAATTTTATTTAGTTTATCTGAAAAATAATCAGACTGTGTTTGGCTAAGTAGAAAAAAAATTTAAAGGCTATGTCATCAGTTCGTTTACACTTTCGTCAAAACCAGTTCATCTTTTAAGGGAGACACTAGCTGCTAAAGCCAGCCGATTGTGGAATTCCTTCCTCTTTCCTGAAGCCATCAGATCCAGTTTATTAAAGGTATTTTTGGTGGCAAACAATAAGTAAAACAAAGTATTTATTAAGCTTGTACCCTACCCTGATGATTTTTTATAAAATACTTAATGGCGTAGCATCTCCTTTTGCCCATTTCTCCTTAGAGGAGAGTATTTTAGGTGAAAGAAGTAGCAGGCAGCCACCCTTTTAAATATAAACAAATCAATTATTCTTTGTACTCTTTGGACCTACACTTAAAGGAGAAAGGTTTTTTGTTTTGTGGGGGTTTTTTTAGTATATCTGGGAAGTTTCCAGCCTGTTAGGTCAGATATAGCCATGAACCAAACCTTAGGAAGTTTGTCAATCTTAACCTTGAATTGAATTGTTAAGGCAGGTTACTTGTCCCGTGGGGCAGGCAGCTTCTCCCACAGTTCCTCTGACGTGGGTGGTGGCAGGCAACTAATGCTTTAGAAAAAGCTGATTCTAAAAAGATTTGACTGTATGCTGACTTCACTGTAAAAGCCAGAAATCACTTATTTTATTTACTTCTCCAAGGTACAAGCTTAATAAATACTCTGTTTTACTTACTATTTGACACAACTTCTCCAGATGTTCACTTTGGAATCCCTGTAGATCAGTACAGCCTTCCATGTAACTGGCACTTAATAAAAACATATCTAATCAATGAGTAACCATAAAGTACCTTTTGTTTTGTAAGAAAGTATTTTTCTTATGATCTGTGGAATGAGACTAGAACTAGAAAGAATAGCATTCTGCTGGGGCTGCTGGGAGAGCAGTGATTAGAGTTTCATCTCCTGCCTATCCCTTTCCTTTCTCCCAGAGCTTCACTGGGCTGTCAGGCCTACTTCAAGACACATGAAGCATTCATATTGGTTCTTACTATCCTCCTTGCTTTAAAGTAGGGGTGTCGAACTCAATCAGAGAAGGGGCCAAAATCTAAAATCCAGCCTAAATCGCAGGCCGAATGGTTTACTGAACAGACATAAACTGTCATTGTGATGGAAACGCAGCGGAGTGCAGTGATGACAGCGCGGTGCGGGCCACATTGCAAGGCCTGGCGGGACGGATTTGGCCCGCGGGCCTTGTGTTTGACACATGTGCTTTAAAGTATCAGCCCTGAGCCAAAACCGGTTTGGCTCAGTGGATAGAGTGTCGGCCTGCAGACTGAAGGGTCCCAGGTTCGATTCCAGTCAAGGCATATACCTTGGTTGTGGGCACATCCACAGTGGGGGGGGTGCAGGAGGTAGCTGATCGAGGTTTCTCTCTCATCGATGTTTCTAACTCTATCCCTCTCCCTTCCTCTCTGTAAAAAAATCAATAAAATATATATTTTTTTAAATAAAATAAAGTATGAGCCCTAGTATTTGCATAATGCTCTTGTCTTTTTTTGTTTCTCTTCCAGTTTAAGAAAAGCCCTCCTAAGATTCCATATAAGGCCATTGCGCTTGCTACAGTACTGTTTTTGATTGGCACCTTTCTCATCATCATAGGCTCCCTCCTGCTGGCGGGCTATATCAGCAAAGGGGTAAGCTGAAGGGTTTGTGGGAATTTGCCAGGAGGCCTCTAAAATGTGAACCAGGGCTCTATTGTTTTATATTCGAATCTAGTAGCACAGCAGAAAGAAGGAAAGGATTTTGTTTTATAAAGATTTTGTTCTCTGATAACAAAACATGATTCTTCCTTTGAGCAACAACAAACTTCTCCCACAGTTCCTCTGAGGTGGGTGGTGGCAGGTCAGCGAATTTTTCTTCTGCAATGTTGGGCACTCTTTACACTCTCATAGTTTGGCACAGCAAAACTAAGCCTGGCTTCGAGGACTCTTGAATGATAAAGTCTGTAACAGAGGAGAACGCTGTTATCGCAGCATTGCAGTGCTATAGACATTCTAGTCTGCTTGGGGAGAGAGAGTAAGGCTTGTGAGAGTCTGGGGCCACTAACCAAGTGAGGACTCTCAGCTCATGAATCGGCGCCTTCTTATATTGGGATTTGGTTGCAGTCCCTGATGAGCTTCAGTACCATACCTTAGAAACCTAAAGTGGTGTTTGCTGGTTCTTGGGCTGCACACAGACACTTAAGCACAGCATCTAAGTTGTTCTGAATTTGCACTGACCATAATTCATGTTTGTTCTTCAAACCGTGCGGAGGGATTATGGTCACATTGCTCTGCGGAAGGAACACAGGTACATGCCCTTGACCGGAATCAAACCTGGGAGCTTTCAGTCTGCAGGCCAACGCTCTGTCTACTGAGCCAAACTGGTTTCAGCACCTTGCGGATTTGTTAACACAGATTTCTTTCTTTCTTTTCTTTTTTCTTTTTTTTCTTGGGCATGTCTGAGATTTTGCTGCCTGTGGATTCCTCTAGTATTTTTATGGTTTCCCATCTTATGTTTAAGTCCTTGATCCATTTTGAGTTTATTTTTGTGTTTAGTGTAAGTTGGTGGTCTAGTTTCATTTTTTGCATCTATCTGTCCATTTCCCAACACTGTTTGCTTGTTTGTTTGTTTGTTTGTTTTTAATTGAGGCGGCTGGTGGGTGTATCTCTCTCATCGACGTTTCTAGCTCTCTATCCCTCTCAATTCCTCTCTGTGTAGAATCAATAGAATATATTTTTTAAAAAAAGAAAAGAGAGAGAGAGGAAGAAACCTTACTCTTAATCTGAAGAAAAAACCATCATTCTATAGTTTTGATTTCTGCTCCACACAGACTAGGGATTTTTAGCTTTTTGTTCTGCCTTTGACATTGTTGACATTGTACAAAACACTCCTGTCATGAATTTCTATCGTTATATGTAGATTTTCATTTGGAGGGACTAGGGGCTGCTTATATTGGACAAAATCCCTGGAAAGGCTCAAGAGCCCCTCTTGAGCAGGCCTGCTGCTTATTTGAGAATCGCTGTTCCAGATTAAGGAACAAACCCTCTATCTAAAATTTGCATAAGGAGGCAGGCTCTCTGGTAACAAGTGCCCTGCGGGGGGAGGGGACACACACACACACACACACACACACACACACACACACGACACTGCCCCTTTCTTTCCTCCATTTTTGGTTTTTTTCTTTTTCTCTCTCTCAGTTGGCCTTTCCATGAACTCTGAGGACTTACTGGGGAGGGTAGGGGAGGGGAGGGCTAAAGAGAAGGCTTTGCTGATAAGCTCAGAGCAGAGCCTCAAGGGACCCCGCAACATTAAACTCCTCTCCCTTAGGGACCTCCAGCACAGGGCGGAAGGCGGAAATCCTCTTCCCACCGGAGCCTGTGGTTTTATTCCAAGGCCTCACTGTGGCTCCCCGTTTTACACACTCATTAATAAGGAGGGCCCACTGGGGCAACAGACTCTGGCATGATTTCAATGAGCTATTCAGCCCAGGTGATGGGGTTGGGGCAAGCAGCTCGTTATTGAAGTCACAGCACTAGGGACATGTTCTGTTTCCCTAGGAGCTCAGGGCCAAGGCAACATACAAATGCCTCTAAAGTTGCCTTTTCCACCTAAAATACCCGGCCCTTCTGTCCCTCTCAGGTTCCTGTGGCCTGCTCTCATGTTTCCATAGCATCAGAACCTTTTTGACCCTTTGTCCTTCACTCTTGTTCACAAGATAAGTCTGTTGCTCTGCCTTCCTTATATTATCTTAAGCTTCCTACTCCTGTCTGTGCCTGTTTCAAGCTGCTGCTGCCTCTGTTTCTAGTGAAGATCTTTCCGAGCCGAGCTCGGGCCTCTAAGTGCTGTGTTGGGTATCAGCATTTTGTTTTTACCTTTTTTTTTTTCTTTTTTTTTTTTAATATTTTATTGATTTTGTACAGAGAGGAAGGGAGAGAGATACAGAGTTAGAAACATCGATGAGAGAGAGTCATCGATCAGCTGCCTCTTGCACACCCCCTACTGGGGATATGCCCGCAACCAAGGTACATGCCCTTGACCGGAATCAAACCCGGGACCCTTCAGTCCCCAAGCCGATGCTCTATCCATTGAGCCAAACTGGTCTCGGCTGTTTTTACCTTTTACATGTGATTGTGCTGTCATTCTGTTTTACCTAATAAATCAGTGCATTGTTTACAATGTGATATTTTATATTAAATCCAATATATTTTTAAAAAACAATTATATTAATTCCAGGGGTATAATATAATTATTCAGTATTTGTATTTATTGTGAAAGATTACCACAATAAGTCTAGTTAACATCCATCACCACACATAGTTATACATTTTTTGTGTGTGATGAGAACTTTTTTTTTTTTTTTAATATATATTTTATTGATTTTTGTACAGAAAGGAAGGGAGAAAGAGAATTAGAGTTAGAAACATCAATGAGAGAAAGTCATCGATCAGCTGCCTCTTGCACACCCCCCATTGGTGATATGCCCGCAACCAAGGTACATGCCCTTGACCGGAATCGAACTCGGGAACCTTCAGTCCCCAAGCCGACGCTCTATCCATTGAGCCAAACCGGTCTCGGCTGATGAGAACTTTTAACATCTACTCTCTCATCAGCTTTCAGGTATACTAATAGAGTACAGCATTCTTTTTTTTTTTTTTTTTTAATATATATATCATTGATTTTTTTTTTACAGAGAGGAAGGCAGAGGGATAGAGAGTTAGAAACATCAATGAGAGCGAGAAACATTGATTAGCTGCCTCCTGCATACCTCACACTGAGGATGTGCCCACAACCAAGGACATGCCCTTGACTGGAATCAAACCTGGGACCCTTCAGTCCACAGGCTGACACTCTCTCCCCTGAGCCAAACCAGTTAGGGCAAGTACAGCATTCTTAACTGGAATCATCGTGCTCGGGACTTCTTTTATAACTGGAATTTTGTATCTTTGACTACTTCACCTCCCTACTGCACGATGAAGAGCGTTCGGTAATATTTTGGCAATACCTTGTTTTAAGAGACAAAAACAAGGCACAGGGTGTGTTCACAATAAAAACTTTACTGAAGGAGCAGGAGAAAATAAGCCAAAATATCTTATGAACATGGATAACTTATTTTCTTTGTAATCTTTTGTATTTTGCAGTTTTTCTCCAATTGGTAATCAGGAGAAAAAGAAATGTAAAACCTTTGCTAGGCAGTGTACTATTCAAAGAAAATGCACTGAAAAGTATAAGATGTTGATCTATGGATTGGGCTCATCATGTGTTACTTTAAATTTTATAACTTGTGTGGTACTAATGCGTTTGCCTCCTTTTGCCACCAGGGGGCAGATCGGGCCGTTCCTGTTTTGATCATTGGCATCCTGGTGTTCCTGCCAGGGTTTTACCACCTGCGCATCGCTTACTATGCATCCAAAGGCTACAGGGGTTACTCCTACGATGACATTCCTGACTTTGATGACTAGCACCTACCTTAGCCCGGAGGGGCAGAGTCAGATGGGACTGAGCTCAGCTTTAAGATACTGAGCAGAAACTATAGCTTAGGGCTAAGGAATTCTGCTGGTGGCAGATGCTTAACAAAATAATAGCCATGTTTTATGAGTCCATCCTAAGAGCTTACAATTAGCTAATTAGGGCATGCTTGATATTTCAAATGGCCCTGACAAAAAGCTGACAAGCTTTTCCAGTGAACCTGTATCTTGGAAGAATAGCAATGTTAATTGGAGAAAGTGGGAGGTTATTCTGTAGTGGGAAGTGTTGTTGCAACCACCCTTTTTAGAGTTGAGCATTTATTTTAAATAGTCTTTATTATCAGTTTGTTCTTGTGGTAAATGGAAGAATGCAGTATGTCAAATTTCTTATTACTAAATAATTTATTTTGAAAATATGTAAGTATCTTACCCCCTGATCTAGTGGAAGACCTTGGCAAAATCAAATATTAGTGTGGGTGCATCTGAAATATTTTTTACTTGTTTTCTTATTCAGAGCAATCAGGAATTTTAAACCTCAGAGCAAGTTTTCAAAATGTAAACATTCTGTTCACATTCCTTGGCCAGTACTGATCTGGCTCACAAGTTGGGCACCATATAATTTGGGTAATTCTGTCCTTTATAGATTAAGATGTTCTGTATGTCATGCCTTTAAGGACTAGACTTTTGTCTGTTTTCTAAGGATAAATGTGGATAAGTGGTTGTTAAGAGTTTATAACCCCATTGTTAGCACCTTGTATATGATGTCCTTCTTCTGAAGATTGCAAGATTTGGCCTGGATCCCTAGGGGTCTAGACTGCCTTAGTTTGATTCTGTTTCCTAGTTTGCAAAAGGTGATTTATGTTCAAAACAAAATGTCTAAATCTAAATCCTACACTTAAATGAGTTAACTTTAAACATATTTCAGAAAACATTTTAATGATTAAATGATATCTTAGATCCCAATACCCAGGACTACTTTTATTTTTAGATAACTGGCATTGTAGGTCAGCCTGCTTTCCAGTAATTCTTTTACTCTGAGGTTGTGGATTGGCAACTAGAGGCCTGGAAGTGCTATTAGCTGGGTTTTGGAGGACTCTGTGTAGAGCAAATTTAACTGGGGAGGATGAGTTCAACTTTGGGTGTGTTAAGTTTAGGTGTCTGCTTAACATTCAAAAGGAGCTGTTGACAAGGCATTTGCAGTACAGGAAGGGAGTCTAGGCTGGAGGTAGAAATTTGGGAGTCAGTGTTGGGCCAATATATCCAGAAACCATGGGGCTGGATGAGATCACCCACAGAATGCACATGGGAAAAAAACACTAGAACTCAAGAAATGAGGGGCAAAGAGGGTGACCTGAAGCAGCCTCCAAGATTTAGATACATTTGTTAATGGGAGGGTAGGTTGGTGATCCATTAGTCTGATTAAAGTTCTTGGGCCTTGGCAATGAAGATGTGAGGAAATATATAAAGCTCTGTCCTGGGCAGTATTTGCAAAGCTCAGACCAGAAGGTTTTTTTTTATAAGGGGAAGGACGCTATTTGTAAGGATGGGGGGAATGCAACAGGGACATAAAGTGGAAAGTATGCATTTGGTTGGGGTGAGTAAACATTTGCGCCCCCACCATTCCCCAAGGTTATCTAATTAAGTTTTTTGTATACCCTTTCAGAAAAATTCAAAGTATGTATGTGTATATCCTTTAAAAAAAAAAAAAAAAAAAACATGGTCTTCCATTGTAGAGTTTTATAATTTCTTTTTTTCCTACCTGTTTTTTAATTGATTTCAGAGAGGAAGGAAGATGGAGAAAGAGAGAGAGAAATATCAATGATGAGGGAGAATCATTGATCAGCGGCCTCCTGCACATCCCATACCTGGGGATTGACCCACAACCAGGGTATTTGCCCTGACCTGGAATTGAACTGTGACCTTCTGGTTCATAGGTTGACGCTCAACCACTGAGCCACGCCAATCAGGTTCTACCTATTCTATTTTGTATGTCTTTCTATATCCACAGAGATCAGCTATATTTTTATTTATTTTACTTATTTCACCTGAGGATATTTTTCCATAGATTTTTTTTTTTAGAGAGAGTGGAATTGGGGGGTGGGAGGGCGGGGAGAAATCGATGCAAGAGAGACACATAGATTGGTTGCCTCTCTTAACCACCCTGATCAGGGCTGGAGATCAAACCTGCAACTGAGGTACGTGCCCTTGACCAGAATCAAACCTGGTACCATTTAGTCCACAGGCCAATGCTCTGTCCACTGAACCAAACTGACTAGGGCTTCAGCCACATCTTTTAAAAGTAAATTATAAGTACAGTTTATCATTCCTAGAGCATGAATTCCTTCTTGGATGTCCTCATTCTACTTAAACATTTGGGTTCATAATTCTATTTGGGATTGTTACAGGTATACTGTTTATTAAGCCAAAATCAGAATCCCTGTAAATATGCATAGACAGCAGTTGTATATTCTGGTGCTTTATAGAAAACATCTAGCCCAGCTGGTGTGGCTCAGTGGTTGAGCATCAACTATGAATCAAAAGGTCACAGTTCAATTTCCCGGTCAGGGCACATGGCATGGGTTGGGGTGTGCAGGAAGTAGCTGATCAGTGATTCTTTCTCAGCTCTGATGTTTCTTTATCTCTCCCTCCCCTTTCCCCTCTGATATCAATAAAAATATATTTTTAAAGAAAAAACATCTAGACCTCCATAATAATATTGAATGTTTCTTGAACCTTTTGCCCAGTGTTGTGTCAAGCACTTACATTATGTATTCTATTTCATTTTAGTCGTTTGGGAAAACCCTGAGTTGGGTAAGATTCTTAGGTAATAAGTTGGACATTTGCAAGTCAAATTTTGGAAAAGTCTGAGTTGCCTTACCAAGTATGAAAGCCAAGTGACTGTAGGGGCTGTACAAGTAAAGAAGTGGGAGGGGAGTATGCACTGTGGTAGTAGGGATGAGTGTCAATCACCAAATGTTTATTTTACCTAAAAGTGGCTTTCTCTCCCTCCCCTCTACTCTGGCCTTCATAGTATTGGCCAAACCATGTGCCCTAGCCTTATAGGATTTTCTTATTTGCAACAATTATGCCTCTCGAGTCTAAAAGTCCTCCCCCATCGCATCAGCTGTTCTACTTATGATGGCTGTTCCAGACCCATTGCCTCTGGATGGGCTTCGCCTGATCAGACACATTTTGACTGCTTCCTTTCTGCCAAGAACTGACAAGTGCTGAAGGTACAACAAGGAAAGATAGGGTTTGGCTAGTGAAGAACAGAGTTTACAAACTAGTGACCACATATGTTGGCCTTCATTTTGTTTTAAAAAATGGCATGGTTCACATTATCTTGATTTTTTGGCTTTTCTTTGTTCCTGAGAGACTCCAACTGGAGCAAGGTAGCCTGCGGCTTTGGCTGAGCAGAATTCTGCCGTTCACTGCACTGCTCACCACTGCTTAGTTAATTTCATTCCCAACCTTACGTTAATTTTCTTCATTAAGGGCGAAGTGTCTGATGGCCTAGTGCTTGTGGTCATTTAGGTTTATTGAATGAGGAACCAAAGCCAACCGTGCATTTCCATCCCAGGACACTTCCTGTGAGGCGTGGACACGTGGGCTGGTACCATGTGATTCAGACTTTCCTAAATGACCCTCTCACTTGCCTGGCAGACCTTCTACTCTTTAGAGTTGATGCAACCCAGTGAGTCAAATACAGTGAGCTCAGTTCACAACCAGTTGTGAGTCCCCTCCTCTGAGGTTATGCAATGTTCCTGCTAGCTGGCCCAGAAGAACCTCCTGTTACTGGTGTGAGAGAAGCTGCTAGAGGGATAATCATAGCCTTGACTTTTTGCTGACCTTCAAAGGGTCATAAACCAAATCAAGTCACATTAGTTACCTAGCTCTGTTATCTAAATTCCTTTCCTGAGCCTGGATGGTGTGGCTCAGAGGTTGAGAATTGACCTATGAACCAGGAGGTCACGACTTGATTTCTGGTCAAGACATGCCAGGTTGTGGGCTCAAACCACAGCAGGGCGGTATGCAGGAAGCATCAGATCAATGACTTTCAGCATTGATGTTTCTATTTCTCCCTTTCCCTTCCTCTCTGAAAAAATCTATAATAATCGCATAATATGCTAGTTAGACAGGATGACCTTCCAGACTAAGCTGGGGCTCCTAGGGAACCCCAGGTTCCGGGTGCCAGAGGGAAGCCAATGCCAGCAGCCAGGGAAGGCCTACTCTTGCATGAATTTCCTGCATCAGGCCTCTAGTATATATATATTTCTTTCCTGAGGCTTCTCTCCTAGACTCCTGGTCTCACAGATATATGATTCAGTCATGGTTTAGTGCCAGTGTAGGAAGGCATAGACTATGTATTAGCTACAAGTTATTGGACAAATTACCTTTTGGGCCTCAGTTTCCTTTTGTAAAGTTGCATAAACCAGTTCCTACCTCATAAAGTAATTAATTGTGAGGATTAAATAAAACAATGTGGCCCTTGGCCAGGTAGCTGGTTTAGAGTGTTGTCCCAATAAGCTAAGATTGCAGGTTCAATCTCCAGTCTGGGACATACAAGAATCAACCAGTGAATGCATAAATATGTGGAACAACAAATCATTGTTTCTCTTTCCCTCTCTAAAATCAATTAATAAAAGTTTAAAAAAAAGAATGTGGGAGAGTGCTTTACACAGAGCCTGGCACATATTAGGTCTAGTAATAATTAATGTCGTTTTCTAATACTTTTTTTAAATCGAATTTATTTAAACAATACAACAAAATTTAATCAACAATATAGTTGCCGTTGTTTTCTACTACTTGTGCCCAACGCTCAGGAAGCATTTTAATCCCTCTGTTGTAAAATTCTTTTTTTTTTTTTTTTTTTTTAAATCAATCTTTATTGTTCATATTATTACACAGGTTCCTCGTTTCTTCCCCACTCCACCAGGTTCCCACCCCACCCTCTGCCCCCTCATCCTCATCCATTGGTGCACAGTTTATGTTCAGTCTCTTCCTCCCTCCCTTTCCCCGATAGTAAATCCCTTTTCAGATAGCAAATCTGTTACTTAGCATTTTCTCATATCAATAATACCTCCACATGCCCAATGATACACTTCACACAAAAGACATTTCCTAATAGGACAACCAGCCTCATCCAGGCCCCACCCAAGGTACTCACAGATCAACACCCCAGGACTATACTAACTCAACACATCCAGATATAAGCCTTCATCATTTGATTCAGCAGACCCTCAAGTTCCCGCAAAAGTTTCCAGCCATGTCTGAGAGGCAGCTGTGGGGCAGGGGCAGGTGAGGAGCGAGCTGTTTTGGGCCAGGCTGCTCCGGGCCTGGCCTCCGTTGCTCTGGTTTGTTCCATAACCAGCTGCTCCGTGTCTGGTCACTGCCGCTCCTGACCCAGTTGCTCTGGACTTGGCTGTTGCTGCTACAGGCCTGGCCACACCCGACTCGGCTGCTCTGGGCCCAATTGCTCCGGGCCCGGCCGCTCCGGGCCTGGCTGCTCCCAGCCTGACAGCCGCTTCTCCGGGCCTGGCCGCACCAGACCCGGCTGATTCGGGCCTGGCCGCTCCCAGCCTGGCAGCTGCTGCTTCGGGCCTGGCCGCACCCAGCTTGGCAGCTGCTGCTCCGGGCCTGGCCGCACCGGACCTGGCTGCTCCGGGCCTGGCCACTCCCAGCCTGGCAGCCGCTGCTCCAAGCCTGGCCGCACCCAGCCTGGCAGCTGCTGCTCCGGGCCTGGCCGCACCGGACCCGGCTGCTCCGGGCCTGGCCGCTCCCAGCCTGGCAGCCGCTGCTCCAAGCCTGGCTGCACCCAGCCTGGCAGCCGCTGCTCCGGGCCTGGCCGCTCCCAGCCTTGGACTTGGCTGCTACAGACCTGGCCACACCCGACCCGGCTGCTCTGGGCCCGGTTGCTCCGGGCCCGGCCGCTCCGGGCCTGGCTGCTCCCAGCCTGTCAG